CTTGCCATAGGCCGAAAATTCAGTAAAACGGTCATAACTCAAGAAAGACAACGTATGGGGATGAACTCTTTTAGAGTTCTTCTAGTCTCATCGAGTTCTACTTATGGACAAAATATGAACCCGATCGGTGATTAACACTTGGGATAGTTCCCTCGTAAGAGAATTTTTATTAAATTTACATACATAGAAATTATTTTGATTGCAATATGTAAAGATGTTTTTTTTTTAAGCTCACAACTTTGAAATTTAGGTAGATTTTGATGTAAATATTTTTATTGAAGTCGTTTTTTTGACAGAGATTAATTAATCAAGTGAAATCTTGTATTGCGAGGGTGATTAAGTTTCTTAATAAGATACGTTGATTGACAATCATATGAGATTTATCATATTAATAAAATATATCAAATATGATATGATTGATTATCATATGAAAGTTTATACTTATAATAAATCATATTGACTTTTTGCGAGTAGGCAAAAAGTTTTTTTTTTTTTTGAGTAATGATATTTGTTCATTTCTATTTTGCATGATAGTATCTTAGAAGAACAAAAACAAAAATTATTAATTTGAGATTATTTAAAATAAAATAATAAGTATGTTTAACAATTTCACTAGGAAAGCTACTTTTATAGAAAAGTTAATAATCAATTAAATTCGATCAACTAGTGATTTACATAATTTCTATGTCAGACATTTTTTCTTTCAAAGTCTACTTTTTTTTTCGACAATCTTTATCTACTTGGATTATAGTATCATATAGAAAACTCAAGGCGGCCATTCAAAAAGCGCGTCCTAATAAAAATCATATTTTTGATTCTATTCTATGTGATGAGTTCAGAAGATGATAGGTTTCTATTTGTAAGAAGTTCAAATGACATAACTATGAGGAAAATTTAATTCAGTACTTTGAAAACTAAGCGCAGAAAATGAAAACCCCCATCCGCACTTTTTCTTTTTTTTTTCACTTACATAATGGCACAAAACAATCTTAATAAGTATTTGAACTTTCACATGCCTCTGAATCTGTCTAAGTCCACCTAGCTCCTTTTTTTTCTCTAGAATATACATTGTATTCTGAATAATTTCGATATTGATTAAATATGTTTTTATTTAGAATCTATGATCTGATTAATTCAAAATCGATTCTTCCAATTGGTATATCAACTTGTGATAAATTATTTATTGATAGTGATTTTAAAAAACGTACTATATTTATTAATGGTATTCCTCTATCAAAATATAATATGAATAAAAAATCAAATGATAATGAATCTCAAATTGAAGTAAAAATGACTCATACATCAACAATTGATAAATCTTTACGTGAAATAGCATTAAGTATAACACTTGCTTGGACAACATTAATATATAGTTCAATAAGTAATGGAAAAACAATGATTGTTGAATATATTGCTCAACAAGTTGGAAAACGATTAATTAAAATTCAATGTTCAGATCATATGGATAGTAAAGTATGAGAAAATCAAAAATAAATTTTATAATTTCTTTTTTTTTTTTTGTGAATGATTTTTCTTTTTTATTTGATTAGGTTCTATTAGGTACATATCAATGTACAGATAAACCTGGAGAATTTATTTGGAC